CCACTTTCAAGCGATCATACAAATAGTGAGACTCCCAGAAGTCTCTTCCTCTGGTTGTCCGTGTACATTGTTGGGAATAAAGGACACCTTTCAGTCAGTCTACAAGAACAGAGTTTCAGGCTCATAAATTTCCACAGTTCACAGTGATACAACTCATTCCAATCCCTCTCTCTCTTGATTTTGTACCAATTTTGCTTCGTCGACAATAGCTTTATTGTCTAGGGAAATAAAGTAGTTACAGTAGCCGTCCAAGTAATGCTGCTATGGGAGAGTAATATGCGCACCCAAAACAAGGATAATAATAATTATAATATGGATAGTATCCTCGAGGATAATAATAATTATAATATGGATAGTATCCTCCACACAGGCAAAACGTTCCTTTTTGTGGATCCATGGGTGGAAGTTTATCAGTGGCCTCCTTGTCCTGAAACATTCAAAGTTCTTCTACAAGCACCTATTGATCTTTCGCCATGGTGGTGATATACACCCAGAAGAACATATTGTGAACATATTTATTCAATGTTATGAATATTTATCTGGGTAACATATTTTTCTTGTTAGGGAGGACCCCGGAAGGGTAACCTTCACATCTTTTTTGCATCTGTAGGCAAGGCTGGGATCGAAACCCACCCTACCCTTCATTTTTTACCTTGATTCACCTTTTGGACCTGGCAACATCTAGGACTTTAAAGAAATCTGCTACTCCCTTGAAGCATTGTATTTAGAATAAATTAACATTCAGTTTTCTCCAACTTATTGTTTTATCTTTACCTATTCCAAGAGGTAGGGAATATGTCATATCTGAGAATGTCACAGTGACAGTGTGAAAATGTCGTTGGCCTTCTTGAAATCTTCACAATTTTCATTTAAAGTGCCCAAGAAACTGCTCTGAGTTTTGAGGGCAATACTGTGACTTTATTGAGAGTTTGAATTCTTCCTGAACAGAAATGGAAACAACTGGTCTGCAACAACAACCAGCCCTCAATTTGAACAGGAGTTCAAATTAAGGGCTGGACTGATTTGGATGTGGAGGTCTACTGATGTTAACAAACTGAAATTTTCGGATAGTCGTTAAGTCTGCACCCCTTCCTCCCCTTCTCATTGCTTGCAGTCCTTCCTACATTCATAAGTACAATGACGTAGCAAGCATTCATTTTGATCGGGGACCTTCTGAATCTTTCCGAGGCCAACTTCACGGCATGAAATTCTTCCAGTTGGAAACGGTGACAACTAAGAAGAAGGTTGTAGAGTCTCCCGTGGTACTGACGCTAGGTGGATATATGTATCGGAAATTGCATTCCCTATCCGAAGACCCTAAAGTGAACGTACCATCACAGGAGTGCCTTGTTTTTCGTTCGTTCGCTGCTGTCACTGAAGTAGCAAGAAGTGGCAAGGTATACATTAAATACATCTGAAATAATTAATTTTTCAGCAAAATCTTGATTTGTTCGTTGTAGCTCTGATCAATCGATATGGGCAATGAACTCGATCAAAGGCTGATCGAGGTGGTACCGACAGCCGACCCTTGCAGCGTGAAATTCTTCCATAACGAGAATACCATTGAGGAAACTACTTACTTCTTTTAGTAATATAGTAACTAATATTTACATTTCTTCGCCAGGGCGAATCAGGCGGAACCTTTTGGATCCTCCTGGGTTGTGAGTGGCATTTAAAAAAATTTGGGTTGATCAAGGGGTACTGGTAATGGTAGTTATAGAACTTATCGGTGCGAAGGAACAAGAGTGAATTACTTCAGAAAAAGTAAACGAACTGGTTCTGGAAGTTGCCTTCAGATTTTTATACAACCGTGCTTTATTTGTAGTGACTTTCCGTGTCAGTCACCCATAAAAAATTTAGAACAAAGGCCTTCAAATGCGAGGTGATGTATTCAGCAGTGGAAACATTGTAAATGAGAACCGATTGGAATCGATTACATAATCAGATCGATTTTAAATTATTTGCTAATTCAAGATCTCTTTTGGGTAAATATTTCCCCTAACCAGGCTCTCACATCGAGAATCGCGGCAATCGCTTCTTTCTAGACGATGGTTTTTTGCTTTGTGAGGGTGTGAATGAATTTTTTTTGCAGAGATAGTTCACGATTACGGTGTCGTGGTGGGGTACACTTTGTTCAATACAATCTGCTCCACCAATTGTGGAAAAGTGTGACTTCTAGCACCAGCTGAAACTTATGAAGCTAAAGTCTCGATTAGAATGAGTTGCTATAACTGATTCTTCCACAGTTACATTATCGAATGTTTCTGAGCAGACAAGAACCGTCGATAGGTTGGAAAGTTAGTTACAATTTTGGTCTTTAACTCTCGATTTTTCTGGAGTTTGGCCATGAAAGAACACCTCAAGGGGCAGTCGATCCGTAGACCAACTGTGCTAGTCCCTCACTTCGGAATAACTATCAGTGTATCCCAGATCTTCCATCCCTTTTAACATGTGCACTGCCTACTCGGAAGAATCTCTTCCCAACCAAGTATCAATAAAATCGACAATGGAATTATCTGTAAGTTTGGAATGATTTCCCAGTGTCGATTCGTAGATCAATAGAGGCCAGTTCTACTGGTCGGTACCACCGTCAGTCCATTGCACACCTCTCGCGCCAATTTCCATTGACTGCACGGAAACACTGATTTCCAATCGAATTTTCTGCACAGAAACCCTAGTACTCTCTATTATCTTGCTGCTATGTTAACGCTTTGGTTTGAACTTCTTCAGGTGTATAACAAAGATTATTGAAGGTGTTGTATATTTTACTGTACTGATGCGTATTCCTACTCATCGCGCCCCTCCCCTTGTGTCCAATTCTGCGCTGAGCTTGTCTTTCTGTTAGCAGTCGAAATGGACAGGAAACTCATGTAAGCCCGGATGTCTCTGAGAGATGTTCGTTGTTTTGATCATCGCAGGAAATTAGGCCCACAATGACACTTGGTATAAAAGAGGTGTTGCTGGGACGTTGTACAGTTGATGAAAGGGTTTTCTTTCTCGTATTACATTTTCCTCCTAATTCTGAAGGAGTGGCCGCCCTCCCTGCTCGTTCCTGCCCTCCAACTTTTGCTTTTGATGAAACGGCTAATGAGGAAGAAATCATTTGGGTATCATTTATTGGAAGAGAAAATCATTACAACCATGAAAATGCTGTTGTAATGAGTTCGTCTGTATACATCCGGCACCAGAATCTCATCCGTAGTAGCCGTACGGTCCGTATCCATATGGACGATATATATAGGGTCTGTATCTGAACGGACTGAATCTGTATCCATACGGCCTATATCCACCAGTTTGATATCCACATGGTCCTAGTCTATAGTTATAGCGATATCCATACGGATAGCAAATGCAATAGCTTCCAAGGTTCGGATCCATTGGTGGAAGTTTATCTGTGGCCTCCTTGTTCTGAAAAGTTAATATTATTGAGTTTTACAATAGTTTGCAAGCATAGTGATGAGGTAAAAGGTCTACATATGGTTTTGCGCGTAAACATTCCCCTACTTCAATGGAACATTAGAATGATGGTCCATATCTTAGTAAATTCAACAGTGGACAGTGTTTGAGATGCGTCGTCCTCTTAAATTGTCAAAACCTGATTCTTCTCGTAGTTTTTTTTTTTAATTTTTGGAATTTTTCGTAGTTTTTTCTACGAATTAGTCAATCAGAACCCATTTTTCAGTCCCTATGCTTTGCAAGGAGTTCCGGAGGAGCGCTTCTTCATGGATGTGCATGGTGCAGGAATAGCTAGCTATGGATATAAGCTACGGAGGAATGTGATTCGGTGAGTTCGAAATTGGATTTTTGGCTTTTCAAAAGGTACAAGTATCGACCAATGGACTGTAACTTGATTGGAAAAGTTCGGTTAACTTGGTGGCAGTGGCTGTGGCCTAATTGACTATGCTATCTAAAACTCATCATAATCTACTCGAGGCACAGGAATCGTCGTTATCTCTTGGCTGCATCTTTGCAAAATAAAGAAAAACGGCATGAAAACTGTTGAGACGTACAATTTCCATTGTCGTATTTGTAGTCGACGCAGTCTCTGAGATGGTTGTCGTATTTGTGGTTGACGCTGTCACTGAGACGACAAAAGCCAATAGAAGACAGAGAAGGTACATCTGCAAGGAATAAGCTTGTGATCAAAAGACTTAATTTATGCTTGAGACGACAAAGTTTTCATGAAATTCATTCCCGAAAGGAGAACCATCGCCTCCTGTGGGCATCAAGGTTCGAAAATCGTATCAATTGGCAGTGCTGGATTTGAAAGCTATTTATTTTTTAACTCGCAGGAGAAATGGATAGCAAACTGAGAGTGTGCTCATGACCACCACGCGATGGCTTAAATACTAGTAAGAATTGTGTGGGCCTATTATGCATGTTCTCAGCTGCGAAAAATGTATCCGAACAAAGGCTTTAAGCGATCATTTGTCTTGTTTTTGCTGAAAAGTAAGTGTTTTATCAGTAGAAATGGATCCTAAGTTTATAGGTGGTCAACAAACCAAAAATTATAACTATTGCCATATGATCAGTATGGACTTCGAAAGTTTGTCCAGCCTCTCCTCTGTATTGCCATGGAGGGATTGCCAGGTTTTTCTCTCCCATCGTTTTCCAATATGCCGTTGTCGTACTGAGCGAAATCAGTAACTCAGTCACCATGATGGCGTTAAGTAGGGGCGTAAGGGGCTTGTACCGCTCGGTCAGACTTATTCTTGAGCTCAGAAAATGTCAAGATCGATCCTTCGTACAATTTTCTCCCTTACCACGTGCGGGCGATTTGTGCCGTGTCCTGACGACTCACTCCTTGGAATATCGAAATCCGATGGCGCTGTCAACGAGACCTTCAGAAACACTCGGGACACTCTGGACAGGGCTGTTTGTTGTGTTCTCTCTATCATGTCACAGAAGTTTTCGACGGTCCCAGTCCTGGCTCATGTTGAGAATTCAGGAATTACAAGCATGGGTTCGGCTGGGTTGCCGTAGCAGAAAACAATCGTATTAGATGGAAGGTAAGTGTCTAAATAGCCAGCCCATCAGAGATTAGTTCTTGTCTGCAAGTTCTACGTCAATTCTAGTCGAATTGTTGAAACTTTACTAGGCAATCAGAAATATTATAAAAATTAACATTTTTGGTGTGAGCACTGTGGTTACGTTGTACCTACAATGGTGACTGTGTTCTAGTAGGTACTTAAATAGGTGAGAGCGTAAACACCCGTTCCTACTTTCATCTCGAGAAAGAGGAAGCTAAATCTTGAACTTCTTATCGATCCTTAACGATAGAACGATACTGATAGGCCGGACTGGCTCTGTCGACGGGTTTGGCATTTGTTTCAGTGCCATCCGTTGCTTATTGATTTCACCGGACTCCCGCATGTGAAACCAAAGAACAACTCAGAGCATAGTTCATCAGACTTTGATCGATGAAATCGCCATTCTGTCGGAGACCTTTCATGTTGGGAGTACCTGTGCGAAAGCACTATTTCTTAACCCGGGTAAGCGAAGAGAATGTTGTACGAAGATCTCAGGGATGAACCAGGTTGGAAATAAGTTCACTTGCACAAGTACTTCCGAGATGAAGTACTCGGGGTCTATGACCGAGAAATGGTCATATTGATCGGAATGACAATTCCGATCGACTGTTTTGTGAATGTTGTTTGATGCCACATCTGGAAAAAGTCCACTGAGATCGGTAAGCAAAGACCAGGGCCGAGTGCCCCCAAACCGTCGACAGAGCCAATCCAGCTGCCTACCCTTCTATCGCCAAGGGTTGATACGGCAACTTGGACAGACTTGGTTTTCCACTGTTTGTGGATGTGAATCTGTGTTTCTGCTCTTACAACCCATTATGTTGTTTATTGGAATACATCTACAGTGCTGGACGCAGCAGTCACCTGAAATGATGCCAAGTGCATTAGTAATTCTGACTCGATTGTGAACTACCGATGAGGACTTTTACAGCCCTTAGATTCAAAGGTGGGAACTCGTACAATAAGTAGAGTGATCAGATATCAGTGCCATGATCAAAACAATCCAAAAAGTGTCCATCTCTCGCCCCTGATTGAAAAGTTCCTGTGTTCTCATTGATGTTTGACTGTTTTGAAGATTTACGAAGATAGTAACAGTGCAAGATTCGCAATAAGCCAGCACCATTGTGGTAGTATGCAGAGTCAAATGAAGTCTGGCTTTTGTTCCGAGCTCACTGGCACTTGTTATGTGTAATACTAGAAAATTGTCAACCGTGAAGAAATGATTCACAGATTGAGGAGCCTCTTCGCCCCTCTTATTTCCCCTTTCTCCTCTCTTCTTTTGAACAACCTTTTGATCCTCCTTTATGCCTATTCCTTTTGTTGCTTTTTTTCATTTTAAAATTTTCCAACCCTTGCTGTTTGCTTTTAATTCATAGGTTCATGGTAAGTGTTGTTTATCGGTACGAACAAGTCAATACATATACCACACATATTCAAGTGTCTTTAATGTTTGTGGCCATCATAGGTCCATATCCATACGAGTTGTATCCTCCGTCGTAGGCCTATGGGACTAAGATATCGTTCATATTCCGAATGCTGGATTCAAGAATGATGAAGTTTCTCAGTGGTATCGCCAATCTTAAACATGAATTACATTGTTTTAATATTGCTTATAATTTTTGAACAAGTATTCATAATAACTACTGAACATCAAAGATCTTGAAAGGACAGAGTTCCCTTGGTATACTGACCATTTGGAAATACAATTTTGCAGCTCACTTTACTCGGGAATTAGTCAATATTGACTTTCGGAGCGCCGGTGTCTGCTTGGACTTGCAGGGAGGAATCACTTTATCTTCATGGAGGTTCGCTACCTGGGCAACGGATGGACTCGAGTGAACGTTCTTCAGTGTCCTGTGTTAGTTGGAAAAGGAGTTCATGAAGCCTAGCCACAAATTTCTTGCAGTTGATCAGTTTTTCGTTGGAAACAATTGAAAAGTATTGGAAACACCAGAGGTTCATACTCCTACAAGGGAAGGAATAGGAATCGATAGGATTTCTGGAAGGCTTATCATGGTTGTCATCGTTACAGTGCGCAAGAAGTGTGGAACAAGAAAGGAATCAAAGATCACAGAGATGTGAAACTCCTGATAGGTGGAATGGAGTCATGCATAGGAACTGTAATGGTAGTCATAATGGAAGGCAGTAAAAAGATTGCTGTGAACTTTGTTCAGTGAAGTATTCACCCAAACGCGCTGGTTTGGATCACCAAACAAATTTACTATAGGAAGCAATTCTAGGTCGTGGTTGTTTCAGAAAACGATTTTATCCTTTGTAAAAATCCACATGAAGTTATCATTACAAGTTGCTTCGTGAAGTAGTGGGTGAGGAGACATAAAAGATCAGCAGAATATAAAGGACATGCATCTGAAATAGACGCATCTTGTGCAGTCGCAGAGGATCTCATCGCTTTGGCAGTTGAATGGGACCTGAGTACCCATTGGAACTGGCGTGATTTCGACCAAAAGCCTTGAAATTTTCTAGTGCCAAGAGCGTGCGCTTCTCCCCTTTACCGCTTTTGAAATTATTTTTTCACTATGAACGGTCCACATGTTCACATCTCATGAAGCCGCCATCGCCACGCCGAAAGACTTTTATGACCATGGATCGTTTAAATTCCAATTATAGGTCAAAAATTAAATACTTTGCTAGATTTTTTATATCGATTTCAACTAATGGTCCATGAAAGCGGAGCGCTCTATACGGTATATGGTTTGAGTCGGATATCCGGGTTTACTTCTCGATTTCCTCTTTTTAAATTTTTATTGAAAGATCGATTCGCGAAATGGTCTTAATGTTCTAGTCTGACATTATGCCACAGATAGGGTAGAACGGGGAAATGCTGGCAGTTATGTAATTGCTGCTGGCGAGAACAAAATATGCTTCAACCGCTTAACTAATGGGCAATTATCATAGAAACCGAAGGCCCTTCTATTGGAAAATTGCCCATATTTCTCATCACAAAGTGCTTTTCGCAGGAAATGGTCTTTCCAAGTGTACAGCCCCCGATGGTGGTAAAGCAGTCTGGGCTCTGATGACCTCGAGATCTTAGTCCAGCGGAAGGGGCTCACCTACAGTTAGTATGCTGTTGTTCTCCTTGACACATTCTATTCCCTCAAGAACTACGAAAGAACTCGGTCGAGTGGGGGCATTCCTAGTAGAAGCCGATTAGCGCGGAGAGCTTATCCCTTTATCCGATTAAGTTAATACCTTTATGATATTACTAGCAGTAATACTATTCACTTTTTTGTATGAACGCCCATGGGAGTGGAGGATTTCTTTTATTGCGGTCCCTTGAATCGATGTATTTGAATCTACAGACCTCAGTCGGGGAATGATTCCTTGAAATTGTGACTGCCATTCTTTGAAGCTCTTTATTTTTGAATTTCCATAGCAGTGACGTGAGAATTTCACCCTTGATGAATGTTAGACGGTATAAAAGCCTCTCGGTAGCGGCATTTATCACTTCGCTTTCGTCCTCTCATTTCATTTCATCCAATATCAGAGACTTTCTAGATTTTGGTATTTGAAAATTTGAAATTCGGCTTTTTTCCAGCCGACTATAGACCTTTTCCTAAGTGGTGGCCAATCTGGCGAATTTTTCCTCTTGAAAAGAAGTATTGGCCATCACTATGAGAAAGTCTAATGTCGATTGGAAAAAAAGGGTTTTCACGAACTTTTCAAAGAATTCACCGATTCTTATGCCAAAGCTAAACGTTTGTAAATCATCTACCTTCTGAACATTTCGTGAGACAGTGAACTTTTTCAGATGTATGTCCTTCATCTTCTGTCCGCTCTCTTTGTATTGATCGCAGCAACTCCAATAATGGTAAAGACCTTTATAACTTACTTATTAGTCGAAGCTACTGGAAATGTTATCAGTACCCTGGAGTTATCGGGAAGTTTCTTGGAAAATCAAGCCCCTAGGGATGCAGAAAGTGAAGGTTGACAGAGAGTTCCTCAATAGAGCAGGGAACTCTTCGAGAACAGAGTATCAGTGGTTTGATGGTCTTTCATCTACACAATTGATTGCCATTCTCGGTTACCCTCTTGAACCATCGACAGCGCTCGGAGTGGCCTCTGTTCTTGCCTAGCTCTGGGTGCACTGACTATTCTCCCTTGATCTGTTGTAAATCGAAGGCTTTCAAAGGGGATTATAACCAACAAGGATCTTATTAATCCATGGTGCGGTAGAGGGTAAAGACCGCAAACGATGCCGCCTATTGGAACTGAAAGCGTGAAGGCCAAGGTGCGGTAGAGGGTAAAGACCGCAAACGATGCCGCCTATTGGAACTGAAAGCGTGAAGGTGCTTCCATACGGGGATTGTTCGTGTTTCCTGCATTCAGAGGACTGGATGAGTTGGTCCTTTCTGTTATGTTTCTGTGATATCCCGTGGTATTCAGAAATTCAAGTTAATTTGTATCTAATTTTCTATTCATCGAAATTCGTAGTCACATATATAAAATGGTTTTTTGCCATGTTCAGGATAAAGGTACTACTGACAAACTGATCACTTCGGATCCAGCACTCGGAGGTGCATCGTATGGTCCTTTCGGCTACAGATTCATATATGGAAACGGGCCATATTTCGGACACAGAATAAATGGATACGGCCCATTTGGATATAGATCGTATGGATATGGACAATAAGATAGAGAAGGTATAGATATGGACCATACGGCTACTACGAATAAAGTTGTTGCCTAACGACAGCATCGAAGTTGTTACAATTCATAGTTTCAATAGTTACAGTGAATTCCCGTTGCTTAGAGCGATTCCGAGGCTGATTTCATCTTCAATTTCGAGAATTACATGATGAGAAGCAATCAGAAATACAGGTTCCAAAAGTGAAAATCATCAGTAGCATCGCAGAGCGTTCAGGAGCACACTTCAGTAGGGTTTTTATTCATAGATCACAATTCAAGATGGAGGATCTACAGCAGCATCCATCAGAAAAGTTATTACTTAGTGGATCCCACAAGTGGTGATGGAGGTCCATCAGCAGTTGGATCCACCTGAGTATAAGCCTTTCCGATGATGTGCATCTGTAGTCCTTTAACGGATTGAACGAACTCAAGGTTTTCACCATATCATTAAGATGGTCCCTCTTCTCCAGTTCGCTGAGAAGGCGGTGGTTACCAACGTGGGTCGCTTGTCTGGCATGGGAGCCTAACTTGTTCTCCACTAATTTGTGCCGTTATTGCAAAGGAACCCTTCCAGCAATGGCAGTTCCTGGAAGTGGAGTAATCCTTGCTATTACTGAAGGGTTCCTTCGCAGTGAAGGCATAAGTCAGTGGAGAACCGTGAGGCTGTATATCTTACAAATCGTCTGTACTAGTACGTTCTGAAGCTGGTGAATAATTGAGTCTGGCACCACCTGTGGAAAACCTTTTTCGAGTTTCTCATGTAGTGTTCCAACGTGTACTAAGTTACGGCATGAGTGTGAAGGTTGGTCTTCTCCACTACACGTTGAAAACTTTTGAAAATTTTCTTCAGATCAGATCTGTTAGAAAAGGTCTAGCTTCTCACGTGGGTAAGTAGTACCTTTGATACCTGTGAAATTCGCTCGTTTCTAGAAATTTTAAAGAGTTGCAATGAATAGATTCTGTGACGGATCTTAAAGGATTGGTATCATCCCCTTTCTTTGCAAATTCTCATAAGCTCGTGATTGTTCCGATTCTCTGAAGGCCAAACGCTACCGTGCTCTCTAGGAAAGGGCCGATCTCCTAGCGCAGGGAAAACGAGGGAAACTCTCGTTCTTCGACTTGCGACGACTTCTTAGAATCGTCTGCATCTTCTTCTACAGTCGAACTTTTGCTTCCAGCAGGTCCTTCATTTGAAAGTTTTTTGAGACCAATTCACGTCAGCAGTTTTGCTTATTTTGACTTTCTTCAGGGCGTGACTTCTCAGACTGACAGTTGACTTAACTTTCGGTGGTACATACTTCCTTGCTTCTACACTTCTTTTATGCTGTGAAATGGTTTTGCGGCGCTGCGACCGTATCTGATTCCCGATAAGTGAAGTCGTCGTTCTCACTAAGTTGGCATTTCCGTTTCCAGGCTGATATTTTCTCAATAGTCCTAACGAAAAAGATTTTCATACACACATACATCACATCGATATGACATTGTTACCGGAAAACGGTCCCAGAAAACGCAGAGTAGCTAGGTTCTCATTACTTTCCTCATTATCTATCAAACTAATGGTCTAGCTAATCTGCGTTTTTTGGGGTCGTTTTGATTGCTCTATTAATTCCCACATTAAGCCACTTGTAAGTGAGCTTTCTCGATAGTAATTTACTTGAAACTTCATTATTCGCTATACCATACTCTAACAGACTGGCGAACATAATTGAATAATGTTTATTAAATTACAAGTATGAGAAAATTAATGAGATTCGCAAGCTCCAACAGCACGAACGCAACAAAGTTCAGCGTCATGTACGGCTTTTCCTGTTTCTTTTTACTGAAAGAGAGCACGCTCTAGAAAATGTTTTCTTCAAAATTGGAGTCTTTTCGTGTTCGACACCGCTTTCTAGCTATGGGTTTCAGTCACGGAACATATCCCAGCAAAACTCACCTTATCTCTCCTTTGAAGTCATCTGCCATGCCGATACGCGAGAATATCCTTCTCGTTACGTGCGGCAATGTCAGGACAATGATCAACGCTGCTACCATAATGCTCAAATTCACCACGACGTATATACCTGTAGAAGAAAGCCTACAGTAGCAGAGAGTACGGTAGCGCAAGAGATTTTAGTTTCATGGCATTTCAAATCGCTTAGGGAGATTGGTATCACAAAAGTAAACTTTGCCATCAACGGAGAAGAAATCGTTGATTCCTTCAATAAGGAAGAGAGCTGCTGCGTTTTCAGAATCCAGGGTCGTCGTCGCGTGGTACAGCATCGTACAACTTCGGGTTGTGGTATTATCGCTATCTGGGTTCGAGCATCCTCAAGAGAAAAAACGAATCTCACTCCTACGTTTTTGCGAAGATACGGAGCCAATTGGCCTCTGTTTTCGAGATGGGAAGTGGCGCAGCACTGCTTCCAAGTACCAACAGGAAGTTGCTCCGGGTGCAAGTCTCATTTCGTTTACACGTACTGAATTGCTTCTGTCGAAAATATTATGACAACTTCGTGAATTGAATGCTGTCCTCATCCAGAATCATCAAATGCTTAGGAACGACTTCTGGTTGGGCGAGGAAAGAGGATTGGATGGAGACTAGCAGACAGTGTGGAAGCATAACACTTGACATCTCTAGGATTGCACTTCAATAGAGTTCATACTGGATAGATCTCACATTTCTGATGCATATTTTCCGTTGGAAGCTTTCAGACCCACCAGAAAGGGGTTTTCCGATTCCATGCTCCTGTAGATGTCGAACGGCTTGTGTGAACCCGAGGCGTTCCATCATATCCGCTAGGATTGAGGACTTTTCCTTTAACTCACAAAAAAGGAGATGGTCTACGTGGAGTGCTTCTTCAATATAAATGTCCTTTTTCAACTCAGTATCCACACTTAATATTACCGAATGCTTTGCTTCAGTTTTCCATGTATAGCGGCATAAATAAGCGGAGAAACGGTTCTTAATCATCCGTGCGAACGGATCTGGATCTAGCGGTTAAGGCTGTCACGGATTGTCATTTGTTATCCATGTCTTTCAAATGTTGTGCCTCGGCAGGTTCTAAGGTTACGACATATATGTGATGGTGTGGCTGATCGACTGATCACGTTGAATACTTAAGGAAATGAGTGACCAGGCCAGACCTGCTCAGAAAAGGCCCGTTACACACCATTTTTGGATAGGTCTGATCTGAATACTTGCTAAAGTTCCAGTAGAAAAATTCTAGTAGAAAAGTCTAATCAGAAAAGTCTGATTACTAATCACCACTGTTAATTAGTGTATATTGGAGTACTCACCGATTCTAGGCAATTGTTCGGTCTTCGGCAAAGTAGTGGCTAGTATTCCAAGTACAAATGTCAGTGACATAATATTCGTCAAAGCCATTCCGAGCTGAACACGTACATAAGTAACTACCGAAACCTTGCGCTCATTTCGCTTTGATTCATATCATACAAATGCTAGGGCTGCGGCTAAAAACTCTGGTACCTTGGACCATGTCTTAAGTGACGAAAGAATTCGCATGAATTTCGTGTGAATGGCTGCTAGGAGGGTAGATACCCGTTTCCTAAAGACAACTTGCCCGTTCTGGTAACTGTGATACCAAATGATTGGCAGTGAGAAGGAGCAATCCACTGTTGTATTGACCCTCCGAAAATGGAATGGGAAATTGTAGCAGAATGATTGCTCTGAGCTGATTTACAAATGCTGCACCGAGTTTTTGTCCTTTCTCCTAAACCCAATGCTCCTTTGTTCTCATCCTGCTCTACCGGGAGAAAAGAAAATTTTCTGTCAGCGATCTCAACATTTTACAGATTGCATGGCTATGTCATAATTTATACTTACCTTTCCCATGCTATCAGCAGCCTTTAAAAACACTCCCAAAATTGAGAGTACATTGATGACGAATGATGGAGCAATGATCATTGAGAGATAGAATGATGGATTTCGCTTCATAAGGAACATATAGCTACTCTGGAATGGGAGATTAGATGATCACCATTTGCACGTGCAAATGTTTACAAAATCAGCATATGTGCTGAGCTTTAGGAAAATTTTCCGAAAAATTCTCCTGACTACACCCTAGTCTTTCTAGGAATAATACTTCTGTGATGCTAACGTTTTTAACTTCGAAACTCAAAGAGCTCTTTGAATGCATAGGTTCCCCTAGGTCTGCAAGTGGCTGATGCGATTAATTTAATATGATTAAACTTTGAATTAATAGAATTCAAATGTGATGTGAATCAGTTTTCAAAATTTCGAATTGATACCAATACTGACAACTTCGTAGTCCGTCGCAATATCGCCCGTGTCACTGAACTGTTTTTCCATCGAAATGTTCATCACTTTCCATTCTCCATTACCCTCGAACACACTTAGATTTATCATTTCATACAATTGTCAATTAATACTGAAACGAAATGTATATATTAATTTTGGAACCAGTGAATCCAATGCAGTCGTAAGATCTGGACCGAGTTTCGTTTGGATTCCGTATTCCTGAGGTGAAAATGACTGCGGCATCAATTTGACAGCGCAATGTTGCTCGTCGAAGGGAAAGTCTTGTACCTAAACAGTATGATTGAGGAACGTTCTAGGATCCTCACGCTTTCCTACCTGAAATGCGCATAGCGTTGATGTGAACGTCGGAACAAAAGCCATAAGTTCGCCGGTGTTGTTTATCTAGGTATATGCCTCGTTTATATAATCAACGATGACTTTAACTAATAATTAAAACGTACCCATACGTGCTTTTGGTAGTCTTCACGAAAGTCTTGTGATGAGTGCCTGAAAATTATGGCATAATCTTATCATCTATCGAAAGCAACATTCACTAGACCATCGCGAGTGTGTCGATAGGTTCGTTTTCACCCCAGGCAAATACGCAACTTGGTGCATAGTTCCAGGGCAACATCGAGTTGCTCCTGCCATCTCTCGTAGAATCTACTACGAATCTATTACCATCCTTATTACTATTTTACACTCTCTTGGCTTTTTGGGATCGTTATCGATTACGGTGACTACATATGAGCGTGTATACTCGGCGATATACGAATCAGATTCGATCGATAACTGTTGGACCAATAACATCCCTGGGAACTCACGCTTCAACGATGGAGACTTCCGGGATCCAAATGTCTTCGAAGCCCACATAAAGATGCGTGATTCCACAGTAATCATCGGGTGACCATTTCAGACGTTCATCGATCCAACTCTGAATAGTAATGAAAGTGACGACGACGCTACAAGGGTGATTAAGACCGAAACCCGTTCTCTGGGCGGTAGCTCGCTACTTTAGCACGTATCCAGGAGCTCCAAACACCTAGAATGGATCTGCCATTGCTCAAGAGGTTTTCGTTTATTGGAATCATTGGCCACGTTCACCGTAGTCTGGGACTTTCGAGTACTTGTGTCATAACAGTGTTAGCTGCACTTTTATGAAGAACTATTTTAAAAATCATTTGTTTTCTTCCATATTCCTCTCAACATTCTTGAAAAGATTTTTATCGGAGCCCACAGCTAGAAGGGAAATTAGTTCTGGCTTACGTTGGTTCAACTCAAAATGTAGTGGTATTGGAAGTTCAAAGTCGGTTTTTGGGTTGTGCGTCTTGCTATTACTAAGTAGGTTTGGAATTGCGAATTCCACTTGTAGCTGGTAACGATTATTTTCAAGAACTTCGTTGGCATGAATGCTTACCATCTGATAATCGAATAAAAAGTCCACCTTCGCTTCCGTTTCGACCTTAAATGGTGAATTGAATGAGATGGTGTATTGAATGAGATGAAATTTACGAAAATCGACCAGTGAATTCAACTAACCATGCGAATAAGTTTCAGGAATAGCAGTGTTACCGTTACTTCGAATCGGGGGAGATCGATCCTTTCAGATTTATTACCTGAATAAGACCCTGTAAAACTAGTGAGAGCGCAGTGACCAAGGGAGCAAGAAGAATTAGCGCGTTCGTCGTTGATCAACATGCTTTCTCTGATGCATCACGCATTTGATTCCTTTCAGGAGCCCAATCAGTCATTTGCCAAACAGCGAAGTTGTAGCCTTCCGCCTAGCTTTCCCACTTTTCTCTTCCTCATATGAGTTAAATATGTCGGATATTGATCGATCTGTACTACAAATCTTACAGACGGTAAAGGCTTAATTGATTTTTGAAAGGCAGGAAGGTTTTGGAATGCGTCAGTCATACAAGTTATATGACTGACCATATAGCATTCATATAAGTGCGTAGAGCAGTTCTGAGGCCCGTTAGAATTGAAAGGGAGAATTAAATTTGAAAGGAATTTGAAAAGGGAAATTGCCAGGCCTATAAAATTAAATGTAAGTTGTATACCGATAGTAGTAACAGGTGGTAATCGTTGATTGTAGTTTTCCAGAAGAGTCTTGTATAATCTGGCTTGTTCTCGTAGGAAATCTTCACGATCTGAAATCGAATATCAATTCATCGGTGGTTGTGTGGGGACTGAGTTAGTTCCGTTTCATTTTATCAATGAAAATCTTAATTAGAAGCGAATATCAAGCTGATGATTTCTGGAATTTCCTATTTTGGTCATTACTTTGTTATCGATTAAAGAATAAATGATCACACAATCCTTCAAGGAATTCATTTCGACAGAAGTTAAGCCATGAACTGAATGTCTCTTCGGTATTGTGTGTTTTTATTTATTGATTATGTTGTGTTTGACTCTGACAGTCAGTATTCAGGATTTGAAGGTATTTTTTATGATTAAGTTTCCTTTATCTGTGGCTACCCACCTTTTGTATAGAAATGGATTGATTCATAAGTTATAAAGCGAGAAATAAGGTAAGGGTTTTCCCATAATGTAGTAAAAGAGAATCGTGAAATACAGTAGCGCTCAAAAGTCTTCGGTGAAAAGCTTCGACGCTTTTTCGTTCATAACGTTTTTCTTAGTGGACCGAATGACACGAAATTTGGATATGTTTAACTAAAGCACATTCCACCCTACCCAACACAATTTGATTGCAAAGCTGTAATATCCACAGTTAGAGCAGGGTGGCTGTTGCGGTAGCACATTTTGCTAAAAGAAAAGTTGTTGACGTCTCCACTTATTCGCACCGTATGAGCGTTTTTCTCATCTTTTGTATTCGGCATTACCGCTCGTACACTTTAGACAGGACAAAAAGGAAAGAGATTCTAGAAGGATCATCATCTGTATTTTCAGTCAATTTTAAGTTCATGCTCTTTGGAATACCTGGAACATGATCAGATTGCAGGTTGTTAGTGGTAAATATTCACAATACGCCCACGCTCCAAATATAGAAATTTCGCATGATTAGATACAGTAGGAAAGGAGTTACGACTGAAAAGTACGGCTGAAGAATCATTTCACCGAAGACTTTTGAGCGCTACTGTATGTCGATGAATAAGCATAATTTTAAATTAATCTAACGACTGTGTAGAGAGACTGCCGGTTAAACCTACTGAGAATTATGCAGCAGTTGACGACAGTGTTGTATATGGCTCCTAGAGTTACGAAGCTGAGGACGAACGGCCGCATACCTGACGTTGCTGGCGCTCAGATCAGAAGTCAACCTTTTTGCCTTACCTTTCATTGAATATTTGCGTTGGGCGCAACTTTCAGTTAGGAACGAGATCGAGTTCCATGTTGACATGGCATGCATGACGTTATCCTCAACTAGTTTGGTACTTTGTTAATTAAGGAATTGATCTTTTGCAACGTTATAATGGAATCACTGAAGGGTATAAGGATTTTGAACTGATTTTGATTAGAAACCCGTTGATCCAAATCATCAAGTCCAAGTGAATGTTGTTGTATCGTCATCAATCTGGGATAAGCTCATCGTTGCTATGTAATATGTCATCTTAGGGTAGGAATGGGGCAAAAGGTCGTGGTATCCCAATTATTATCCCATCTCATTTGGCACCGGGCAGTAAGCATCAACCAATCTCTCTTTTGGATGCGCCACGAACACCACATCCACGAACGATCGTTGAAGTTTCTAGCGCTTGTGTAGCTTGCGGATACTTCCTCTCAAATCAAAAAAGCGTCATGAATATCAGATTCTCCTAACGTACATGACGACCTATGCGGTAGACATTCTTGTTTTCAATCTTTTTGTCAGTCCAGACAATTCTGCCCGAATCAATCGTGAAATTTTGGCGAGACTTCATTTGTTTTCGGTCGTGGAACTATTGCGACTTCTAACGGTTTCTGTCATATCGATCACGTCTATGGAACCCTTCGAACAATTTCTGTCTCGTTTAGAGGGGTTTGGTACAGAGCTTAATCAAGAAGAACTCAATTAGCTTTGAGGTTTTCGAAAATGCTCGTGCGCACACCGCGTTTCTGAAAGCGGCATAGCANTTTAAAAGTATTTATTAGTATTGAGAAACGGCACACAATGGCGAAATGTGCTACGGGAACTAATCAAGACCCTTTGAACCTTGCGTACCATTCCGTGCTCTAACTCTGCAAAATTCGAACGTTCTGTGTGAAGTTGTTAAATTACTGTAAACTAAACGCCCAGGCGACAAAGTAGTTCAACGTCATACCTAAGTTCGATGTTATGAGAGAATTGGTTTATAGCATTCCCGCGGGACCCATCGAAGGTTGGAAACCGTTGTGTGGTCCATGCTGCCATCCTTCTCTGTTCCACGGTTCTTCATGACCGTATGGAAAATGCCCTTGTGGCCCTTGTGGCCAGCCACCAAAAGATCCATCATCCCATCTTCTGTGCCAAGGCTTTTCCCAGGGCTGTTCCCAGTGATGACCCCATGAATGAGGACCATCAAATGGGAAAGGTCCGTCATGCGGCCTTGGGTGTGGTCCATGAGGACCATGAGGGCCGTGTTTTCGCATGACTTCCATAATAGCAGCCATCAACACATGGAATACCTGGAAAGAGTCAGTCTTCAAGATTCTTCTGTGAACTATCACTAGCTTCCTGTGCCCGTGCCTGAAGAACTTGTTGTTTCTGCTCACCTGTGGATGTTCCCAATGGAGTTTGTGCACGGCTTCCATCATGTCTGGCATTGTCTGCTTCTCATTCTTCATAATTTTTGTGAGATTTTTGACAGCTTTTGGTAACTCGCTAACCAGCTTGGCTAGATTCTGGTTCATTTTCTCCATGCGCTTCTCGAATTTTGAAAAGAAGCTCATCACTTCTTTCTGGAAATTTTTCTCTTTGGAGTGGTGTTGACTTTCTAGTAATGACATCCTTACCATGATTTTGTTTTTCTTTGCCCAAACCATGATTTGCTGCTTCTGCTGAGCGATTGTCATTTTTTGATTGTGAAGAATTTCGTAATAGTCCTGTTGAGCAGGCCAGCTAACTCTCATCAAGAATGGCGGATGGAAAAGCTCCATCCATATGAAGCCGTGATGGGCCGCTGTGACTGTGATGAGAAGTAGAATGAGAAGTTTCATCCTGAAATTCTTCTTCACAAATTGATAGTTTTACAAAAAGAGAGGAGGATTCAAGTGAGAAATCCCGGATTGGTCCAACTCGGAAGAGTAGCTGTCATGAGGAAACAAGAAAGACTTAATGGATTCCCTTGCTTTCTGTTTTCCTTATATTTGGCAGTTCTGATGCTGATCTTGACCAACAGAGTTTATTTCAGCTGAAATTATGCAAATATTTCATTACTCATGCAAAACAGTGGGAGTAAAACCCTTTTGAGTTTTGTCTTTTCACCTGTCGCTTAATAAATTTGACGCCTTTTTTCATTTACTCGAAATAAAAACTGTCTTGGCTCTATTATCTGGCTAGGGCAGTCTGCAAATAAAAGCTCTCTGTTGGAAAGTCATGAGCACTATGAATAATATGTTTTTGCACTAACCGTACTCCTCTCCTTGTTGGCAAAGCTCAATCCTCCAGTCGATGCCAAATATTTCACATCTTCGATGATTTTTGCAAAATTTGATTAGGTAAATGAGGTACAAGCATCTGCTTAGATTGTTGATTGTTTTTGTAAATAAAAAGTGATGGGCCAGTTTCAGAAAACCAATATTACTTTTTCAAGGCTTCGCTATAATGTTTGCTAACAGGGTAACCCATCGGAATTCGCCCATGCTTTGACGTTCACTGGACATCCCAAGCGTCCTGGTGTCATAGCCGCACAAACGGTTCCCATCCTCCCATTTCCTTTTACGAATGAATCCCCTATTTCTGAGAATCAAGGCCAACTAGTACTGAGTGCTTCTTGTTTGACGTGATCCCAAGTGGGCACTATCAAATTTATGTTCAAAGATTAAGAGTTTTACTTTCGTTTCGTTCTCATGGTAAACAGACGTCATTTCCTGCTTTTTTACTTCTTCAATTGACTGTAATGATTCTCATTTTTTCAGCCATCTGTCTGTATGGACTCGGTTAACACCTTCAGTTGGTGGACGATAATGGTGTCACGAATGGATAAATAACGAAGTAGAGAAGATTGTGAAATAGTTTTAAAGATATACAAAGCAGAAATAAATACTTGTCGATTGAAAAGTTTTGATAACGTTTCTGAGGATGTAATTTGAGTAATTTGCTTAACAAATGTACAAATTACAAATAAAAGGGTGCATTTGAAAAGTGTTTTTACTGCAAACGGTTCTACGACCGATTGTTATTCTGCAACGACATATTATTATTATTATTATTTACTACAAGAGCAACAGTCGTGTGAAACTAGCACAAAGA